ACAGCCACATCACACACACGCCCCACGTCACACACACACCCGTCACACACACACATCCACACACTCACAAACCACACAACCCCACATCCACACACGCACACACACACCCCACATCATACACACCCCACATCACACACACGCCCCACCGTCACAAAACAACACCACCACCACTCCACACACCACACACACCCACACACACACACACACCACACAGCCCACATCACCACCACGCCCACGTCACACACACGACCAGTCACAACACCAACCCCACACATAAAAACACACACCACAACCCCAACATCACACACACACTCCCACATCACACCACACACACCAACATAAAACCCACGTCACACACACACACACCCACACTCAACACACACACCCCAATCACACACACACCCACATTAAACACACACACACATCACACCACACCCCAACACATTAAAAACACACAAACCCCACATCACAAACAACACCCAATCCACACCACACACCCATGTCACACACACACACCTATGTCACACACACACACCCACATCACACACACACCCAATCACACACATGCCCCGTGTCACACACACACCCATGTCACCACACACACACCCCACATCACACACAATCCCATGTCACACACAACCCCACATAACACACACACCCACATCACACACACACACCACCCACATCTACACACACACCATGTCACACACACACACCCATGTCACACACACACCACATCACACACACACCCCACATCACAACACACACCCACATCACACACACACCCCATGTCACACACACACACCCCACATCACACACACACCCCACATCACACACACACACACCACATCACACACACACACCCCACATCACACACACACACCCCACATCAGACACACACCCCACATCACACACACGCCCCATGTCACACACACACACACACCACATCACACACATGCACACCCACTGCATACCCACCACACGCAATGTACCTCAAAGGCCCCGTGCCATGCCGCCCTGTGACACCGCGTGTCTCGGCGGGCACCGGGGAAGGAAGAGAGGCCAGTCCCCCGGGACGGCCACACACCATCCCAGCAGCCACATCTGGAGACGTGCGCGGAAGAATAGCGCGTCTGGTTTGGCGCTCGCCGCAGCCGTGCTGTCAGCGCTCAGAGCCTGTCCCCTCCGCACAGCGGGAGTGTTGGGCTGGGCCCGGACTGAGGGCGCCTCCAGCCGGCGAGTGTGAGGAGGAAGGCGAGAGGGAGAGGCCTGGCAGCACAGCAAGCACAGTGCCCCGCCCTGCAGTGCAGACCGATGCCCCGCCTCGCTTTCACAGGGAAATGACAGAGGCCCAGAGAGGTCAGGGCCCGGCCCAGGGGCACACAGCAGGGAAACAGAGCCTAAGGTGACCCCACAGCAGGACCCAGGGCCCTGCTCGCCACCTCTGTGGGTAAAAGGGAACTGGGGTTCAAGGCGGGGGTCTCTATACATAACATGAAAAGAAATAGCATCTATATACCTCTTTGCAAAGTTCTTCCCACTTGCAAAGTTCTATTGTTGAATCTTTTCAGCAGCCTGGCAGGGTCCTACCACAGTTGCTCTCATCTGACACTCAGGGAGGCCAGGGGTCAGACTGCGGACACAGTGTCACACTGGGTGAAAGACAGCACACTCAGAATAACACACAGAACACGCATGCACACGCAGACAACACAGAGAGCCACAGATGCGCCATGTCCCCACCCACACCCTCCTGCACTCTGGCCTTGTCTCTCCTGGCGTGCAACTGCAGAGGCCAGTGCTGAGGGAGCCGGAGACAGGTGGCGTCCTGGGCCCCAGCCAGGGCAGGGGCTGGGCTAGCCCCGAACGTCTCGCCTCAGCTCGTCCCGGGGCTCCGGTCCCATACTCGCGGTCCCCTCACCTCTGGACCTGGTAGAGACTGTCGAGCAGAAGGCGGGTCCTGCAGAGGCTGGGAGCAGGTGTGCGAGAGGCCTTATATAGCAGGTGGCCACACCGTCAGGGACACAGCTGCCTTCTGGGGAGGGACCTCTGGGTCACACGAGCCAATGTTTCTGGCTGTCAAACTGTGCCCTGCCCATCACAGGGCTGCAGGCAGCTTAAGCGTTTGGCAGCCACGCAGTGTCCTCTCCGCGGCCTCTAGGAACTGGGAGCGTCTTTGGGGAAAGCCTTGAGCAAGGTGTACCCGAGAGCCAGGTATCATCCAGCACCAGCTATGGCCACTGAATCAACTCCAGGAGCTGTTAATGACAAATGTCGCCTCATCCCCACCTGGCAAAACAGTCACCATGATCGTCCATCCCACTCACAGATGAGAAAGCCCAGGCACAGAGGCTCCCCGCGGTGCACAGCTGGGCAGCACCAGCTGGGGCTCAGCGCCAGGCCACGCAGGCTCTGAGGCTTGGGAAGGACGCTCAGACAGCCCCTGGGGCCGAGTCTGAACCTCAGCCAGGGTGAGTGCAGACCCTGTGCAAGCAGCCTCGTGTGAGAAGAGGGCCCGCACTCTGGGGGCGCGGCAGACCGCTCGGCGAGAGCCCCGCGTGGCCACCCGACGCCCCTCGGGCTCTTCATGCTGCCGCGCGGGTGCTCCTGGCTTGGAGCGTGGCCTTCGGCTCTCCTCCTCCTCATCCTCCTGTCCCAGCGCCGGCTCTCACACACGCGGGGCTGGGACAGCCCAGCCGAGGACGCGGGGCCGGGCACGCACCACACTCACCCACAGCCTGCGAGTCAGCCTTGGAGCCGCTCTCTTGGAAATACCCCGGCTGCTTGCTGCCCCAGCCTTTGGCTCAGCTCTAATCTCCCTGAACTCATGTATTCACTCAACAAACATTCCCGAGCTCCCTCCACGTGTTAGGCCCGCTGTAGGGGTTTGGGAGGGCCTGTGAGCAAAAAGACAGAGACCTTGCCTCCCTGGGGTGACTCTGTCGTGGGCAGGTGTGACAGATAAGCGAGTTACAGGAGGGCAGGCCTCGGCGACTGCCCTGACGAAGACACACAGGGCGGTGGGCCATGGTTCTGGGAGATGAAGGGTTCCCACAAGACACAGTCCTTTTTATAAGCAGAGGTTCTGGCCGCCTCGGTTTCCCCTCTTCCCCATCTGCCCTCAGGCTGCTTGCCACAGCACTCTCTAGACAAAAGCCCTCCTGCCCTGCGGGGTCCCACTGCTCGCACCGGGCACTGGTCAGCCACCTGGGCTCTAGCCACCAGGCGGGGCGGGCAGCTGGGCGCCACAAGGGGGTGCCGCGGGGGCGCCTTTGAGACAGCAGCCCGAGACAGCAGCCCAAGCCCGCCTTGGTCAGGCCAAGGACTGAAGCAGGAAAACAGGCTCATCAATGTTAATTCCTCTCAGAAAGCACCAGATACCCAGGAAAATGGACCAACGGCGACCAGGAAGGTATGGGTCCGGATCCAGACTTTGTCCCTCATATCACTTAGGCCACTCATTAACCCCACTCGCTGGGCCCAACCTCCTTGTCTGTAAATGGACACATCAGTCCTGAAGAAACGCTGCTGATTATTTATCCATGCCTAGAGTCCCCACGGCATCCCACTGTGCGTTCCCAACACTGTCCTGGGTGTCTGGCCCTGGGAGGTGACCAGCGCACGTGGCCTCAACAGGGCCAGCCTTGGCAGCCATGCTGCAGGCAATGGCAGCCCTGCCCAGCTGTGCAGGCTATGGGGCTGCTCGCAGCCGTGGCCCTCCCTCCTGAGGCCCTGGACAGTGTGTGGATGGGTGTCATCGTCTCCCTGGACCGCCGAGGAACTGGGGCCCAGAGAAGCCTTCCCTCTAGGCTTCCAGACACCTGCCATCAGGATGGGCCGGGTCAGGCGCAAGGTGTCGGTGCACACTGGGAGGACCCCTCTGCAGCAGCCGCTCCGCAGCAGCCAGGCGGCCCAGAGGCCCAGGAGACGCCGAGTGTCCGCAGGCAGCCGACTGTCGCGCCCAGGCTAAGGAGCACCCGGACGCCTCCTGCAGCCTGGTCCCATTGCCCTTTGCATGAGGACGGTTCCTTATCCTACAGCCTGCTTGGCCAAGGAGAGCCTGGAGCTCAGCTGAGCCCCAGAAAGCCACCTGGGGTATAAACCTGGTCCCACTGTGGGAAATGGGCTTTTCCAGGGGGTTCCTCTGGCACCGGCAGAGCTTGGAGGTGAGTTCCAGAGAGGCCCTCTCGTGTGGCGTAGACGTGCAGAGGTGTGTCCGGCGGGGGCAGAGGAGGCGGGCGGCAGTGCTGCCTCCAGCAGGGCCCACACCAGGGGCTCGGCAAAGGGCCTGGCCGGCCGCCCCGCCGCGCCTGTTCTCCGCCCGTGAGCTCCTGGGAACTTTCACTGACTGACTTATTCCTCCACCTTGGAAATGTGACAGTACGCTACAATAATGAGATTACTGCCTCCACGTCCCTGCCCTTCAGTCACAGAGGAAATGTGCATGCCCTGAATGACAAACTTCACAGCGGTCTGTGCCCTTGTGTAAGAAGAAGACCCCCTGAGACTTCAGTTCTCCGCCTTTCAAATGGGAAGAACACCGCCACCCATTTGCAAGGTGGTCTCAGGAGTAAGAGAACCGCACAGGCAGGCATTCAGCATGCAGCCCCGCTGCCATAGAAAGCCTCAGAAACAGTGGCTGCTGCTGTTGCTGCCATGGCTCCCTGGGCCACACCGGTGACATCGCAGGCTGGGGACACTCGCAACTGTGCAGGGCAGTGGTCTAAGGTGAGTCCCCAGCCTCAGAGTGAACTTCTGCCACCTCACTGTGTGAACTTGGAAGATCACACACAGAGTCTCAGTTTTCTGTAAGTTGTACCAGAAAAAAACACATCAACTTACGTTCCTTCATTTTTACCACTCCTTCGAATAAAGTAATTCGATACCAAAAAGATTAAGAGAGAAAGCTTATGATGCTCTTTGCACAGTGCATAGAGTATTATAAATTTGGCTCAAGGAAATTTGCTATTATTATCATTAACTCAATCCCTGATAATTTAGCTGGGCTTCCTTCATGGCAGGTAACAGGTGTAGGATGGAATCAGCTAATCATCTCAGGAAATTTTCAATATAACCATTTCCCTTAAAACTCCAGTCTCTAAATATAGGGCATATTTGAAGAATTATTGCATCTAGCATTAGAAAGCCAGTTTGTCTGAATGACTATTAATACTGATATGCATCTTCCCTCAGGCTAGTGAAGAAAGACAAAAATAAAACAACAGACAGGCCTGGCTGGACTCCTGTTTACACCAGTTGTTAACTGTGACTTTGGCTCTCAGAATCTCTGTCAAAACAAAGGGACAATGCCTATTTTTCAGAATGACTGACACATACAGAGTACTCAGAAATGACTGCTCTCTTCCTCCTTGTCTTTTTTCTGACAGCTGAGCCTTAAATTTACTCATTTGTTCAACAAAATGTGTGTGTGCTTTCATGCCAGGCACTCGCACAAAGCTGAACGAGATAGATGACTGTCTTGCCCTCCCTGTGATTTTAAGCTAATAACAACAACTGCAAGCAAACAAGTAAAACGACTTTTAAAAACAGCAAGTAAACAGACAGACAATTGCCAGTTGAAGTGTTCTGACTGAAAGAAAACAAAAGCAGAGGCAGGACAGGACAGGTGGCGGCGGAGGCGGCAGAGTCTGTTGAGGGGAGACAGCCCTGGCGAGGGGACCGGGCGGGACAAGGCGGCTAGACGGCTCCAGAGAGAGAACACGCCTCGGAGTAAAGAAGGCTCCTCCTCGGTGGAGAAGGTGTGTATTGCTGAAGGAACTGAACGAAGGTTATTGCAGAGTTACCAGCTTGCTAAAGAATTACAGGGTCAGTATTCACACCCTTCCTGCTGAGCACATTTCAATATTCTATGCATGTTCTTCTCACAAGCAGCTTAGATGACGTGCAAAGAGCTCCAGACTTGTTCAGAACCTTGTTCTCCATGAGTCACAATTTCCTTGCCTACAAAATGGTGTGATTTAAAATTAGTAATACCTATCTGCGGGAAAATGAATGGTGACTCCTCCCCTCTCACTTATGAAATAGAATGGGAAATAATTATTGGCAAATTGGTTCCACTGTTCTCAAAAAAGTGTGATATGTGAGCCAGGCTCAGGAATCAGTTCAATATCCCCGAGTGGCTGTGCCAAGGTCATTTTTTCATGCGGAGTAAAGTCAAAGTCATGCTGAGGGGAAGAAGAGGCTTTCTTGAGGTAAGACTGAATTACAACGTTGTGAGAAGACTCTTAACACTCACTTTTGCTTTCTAGGGGATGGCTGATGTCATCGCCAGGCATCCCCACCGTTGCGCGGTCTGAAATGGATCCAGCTGCCCTCCAGCTTCCTTCCACCCTTCGCAACTGGAAACCCTGGGCATAGATCAGTCTCCCTTAGCAGCTGGTCAGGGCCTGAGATGACGGCGTTGATGAGGCTCCGAAAGGGAGTGAGGGATGGGGCTCTGTGTCCACGGGGTGCTGAGCC